TACAACAAATCAAGTGACTCATCTACAAACTTAAGGAAAGAAAGACAAGTGTATAGGCAACTCACCTCCTTAGTTAAGGGAAAGGAGACAAGTGTATAAGGATGAAGTAACACCCACCTCTTCACCTCCAAACCGTAGCCTCTTCTTTCTCCTTCTCCTGTCTATTATTCCACAACTATGCCACTTGTTGTAAAATCACCCTAAAATAATCTTTGTGCCCCGGGCACCCTCATTTCGAAACTTAGATATATTGACATCCTAGTTTAATTTTTAAGTTATAAAAAGGACTAAAATGATATTAAGTGTATGACCCACTTATTTACCTTGGGTTAACTTAACCAAAGAAACCAAAACTCATCATTTTAGTACCTTGCCCTTAACACCCAAAAATCCTCTCCTATTAACCAACTATTTTTTTTTATACCAAATCCTAAAATCAAATCTTTAATGTACTCCTTAGGAAATGGAGCCACTTAAATAAGCCATAACAACAACAAAGGAAGAAAATAACACTTAGATCAAGACAAACCCAATGAAACAAAAAACAACACAAAAAAAATTATAAATAAAAACTAAATGAACAGAGTAGAGAAAAATTTACACATAGAAGGTCGTTCATTGTCGAAGAAGCGGCTCAAAGAGCCCTCATTTGCTTTCCAAATGTCGAAAAAATAAATAAAAATCAAATGCCAAAAAATAAAGGAAATATAGAGCTCTAGAAGATAATTAATTGTTTGTTTTAGAAGGTTTATAGTAAAAATCAGGTCTAATTTGTAAAACATATACAAAAAAAACTTTGAATTAGGGCTCATAGAGAGAGAAAATCGATGGCGGTAGTTTGCAAGAGAGGATTGTTGGGTGTTAAGGGCAAGGTATTAAAATGATGAGTTTTGGTTTCTTGGGTTAAGCTAACTTAAAGGGAAATAAGTGGGTCATCCACTAAATACCATTTTAGTCCTTTATGGCTTAAAAATTAAAATAGGGTGTCAATATATCTAAGTTTCGAAATGGGGGTACCTGGGGTACAAAGGTCATTTTAGAGTGATTTTGCAATAAGTTGCATAGTTGAGAGTAAGTTTGTAGTTTAAGCCAAAAAATGTAAGTAGCTCACATGCTGAAAATTCTGGATTTCCTTTACTTACACTAAAGTTGATCAAACTTAAATATAAATGATTTAAACATCAACATAAGTGTAAAATAGATGAACATTAAGCTCAATATGTGTACTTTCTGACCCTAAAATTTCATATTCAAATTTAATGAATAAAAAATATCAAAGAAACCCTGAATGTCAATAAAGAGCTAGAAACAAAACTAAAAGTGCAATATGTGTTTAAATGTGAATATAGGTTGAGGATTATCACGGAACCGTTTTGAAATTATAAGTGATCGAGAGGAATCAAATTCTCGTGTCCAAGGTGAGTTATAATGACTAACCCTTCCTTGTTACATTGGAACTTTGATCAAATGCATTCCATTATTGGTATTTGAAACCATTTGTTAATTGTGATATTGAGATTGTGAATTGTGAAACCTATTTGGCCTCTAAGCCTATTTGATTGTACCAAGTCTTTCCTTTAGCCAGTATGACAGAATCCCAACTTAATGGGGGCATACCATCAGGCTATGTGCACATAAAGATTTGTGATTAAAGGGAGAAGTTACTACCCTAAAGTGCATAATGTGTGATAGCACTAGAATGTACATAGTGATATGTCTTCTTCAGTTCTATCTATGTGATTATCTGTCATATTATTGATATTGCCTTTGTGATATTGATCCGATTACTATGAATCCTTCTATATGGACTTATCACTATTGATGAGCTACAATGATAGTACCATCTGTGTTACTATAAATGTTGAACCTTGAGATACTTTTCAGTGTACATGCTACCAATATGACACTATATTCCCACTGAGTTGATGACTCACTCAAGCGTCTGTAGTTTCAGGTAGGGATGATCCAGGTCCGTCAGCATCTTGATCTCCTTGTTCCAATAAGAAGCCTATGAATAATGTAAATAGTTGTTAGATATTATAAGTTGTTGATAAGTTATATGAACTCCAGTAGCTCCATAGTACCCTTGAGAATGATATTAGTATTACATGTATTTAAGCTATAACTTAAACAGTATTTTGAGAGTGCGATATATGTTTATACAAAGTGTGTGAAAGATTGTATGCAGTGATCTTGGAAATTAAGTGGAAGTAAATAAATTGATTGTAGCCCACCTAAGTAATTAATCAAGATAAATAATGTGTGCAATTGCATTGGTTCAATTGTAGGTTCTACGAGGTGCCCGGTGGCCTTAAGCCTGTGTGGACCTTAGGACTGTTGCACCATCAATTTTGGGGTGTGACGCATTGTCTCCTGAATTCACACCCATATCCTCTGTTCTGTTACGTTGCTATCTTATTAAATTGAACAACGGGTCCTATTGGACAAACAAAAAGATAACAATGGAGATGGAGTCTCTCATTATACTGCAGAAAACATACAAATATTGATGAAATTAAAGAAAAAAATAAATATGTTAAGATCTCACAATCACAAAAGAATTTTCTACTTTGAATTCAACCTCTAACTGAAAAGAAAAGTTTAGCCATAACATATGAAAAATTATTAAATCCCTAAGAGGCATCTTATTTTCTAGAGTAATAACAATGCCTCTCTCAATTAGATTTTACTTTCTATTTATAAGAGAGAGCCCAATAAAACTAGGAAAGTATTTTTTTTTAATTTAATTATAAAATAAAAAATATATAGAATCCAAATATCTTCCTCATTCTTTAAAAGAATGTCTTAATTTCCTGAAAAGATCTACTGGAGTAAAGCTAAAGTAATCCTAGCTATCGAATATGTTCAATTCCTGATCTGATCATACTTCCAGTACCCTTGCCCAAGGCTAATTTGAGAGCTAAGATCCTAACAGTTAATTTGACTTCAGCTCAAACCCAATAGATTTCTCCAAAATTTGACTCCAAAAATTTTCTTGTCTCATAAATTTAGTATAATCTAAGAAAAATATAAAAATCAAGTAATAGCTTTCATTTTGAAACAAAAATATCTGCAATTAATATTGAAATGGTGAGCATATTATGCTAAATTAAGTATTTATCAATGTCACCTCCTCTACATTGTATATATGTTTTGAATCTCCTTTATAGTCCATCATGTACTATGATATTTATGCATTTGTATTTTGCTCTGTGTGTGACCTGAGCCAGCTTTCAAGCTATTCGAGCTCAGCTCGAGAAAAAATTTGAAAATGTTAGGCTCGAATTGAGCTCGAGCTTATTGATGTTCAGCTCAAAATCTCGTCAATTCTTATCGAGCTTATATATATGAGCCAGCTTTCAAGCTATTCGAGCTCAGCCCGCACGAAAAAATTTTGGAAAATGTTAGGCTCGAATTGAGCTCGAGCTTAATTATGTTCAAGCTCAATAATCGCGTCAATTCTTATCGAGCTTTATATATATATACTATATTATATACTATTATTATTATATATATATAATATATAGTATATAATATACTAGATATATATATACTATATATATATTATATATATATATAAATATATATATATTATATATTTATTTATTTATTTTAACTTATTCAAGCATACAAGTCATCGAGTTTAAAATTTTTGAATTGAACTTGAGTCTCAAGTCGAGCTCGAGGCTATTTATTTATTTATTTTTAAACTTATTCAAGCATCAAGTCTCGAGTTTAAAATTTTTTGAATTGAACTTGAGTCTCAAGTCGAGCTCGAGCCAAGCTGGCTACTAAAATATTCGGGCTGATCGAGTTTTAAGCTCGGCTAGGCTCCTTTATACCCCTATGTGTGTGTGTATGTGAAATTTATAGGAAATTATAGTTCTGTATGATCTGGCATATAGCATTTCAACACCGTTTATCCTCGGATATATGGTGTTGGAGTGTTGTCGTTTTATATATATAAAAGATAGGTGAATTATTATAGCCATAAATTTCTTTTGATTAAGAAACTTGTAAAAATATATTAAGTACAATTTACAAATTGAAGGTTATATCATAATGTATGGACCTTTACAATGAAGTTTAAGCCAAGTAAATTTTTTTTAAAAGCTACAGGAGTAAATAATATGAAAGTTTATTTTTGAAAAAATGTAAAACAGAATTTACAGTAAAAATACGATTGAATAAGTTAAAACTTAAAGATTAATTAATTTTAAAATAATTCATTTTCAAAAGAAAATAATTTTAAAATAATTATTTTATGTATATGGACCTTTGTAATTTGATATTTTCGAAAATTAAATAAGTATTTTTATGACTACATAAATTTTAAAAAAATGTACATAAATTTAAGATAATAAATGAGATTAGTTAAACTACAAATTAGAAGTCACAACATACAATTTTATATGGTTCAATTTAACTAATTTCATATTATTAAAGGGAGAGATTTGTAAGTCAAGCATTTGAGTTATATAATTTAATTTTCTTAATTAAAAATATTATATTAAAAAATAATGAGATGCCATGTATATATGATATAATTTAAATTGGATAAATACAATATAAATGTTTTGACAATAAGATAATAAAATTTTATAATTATTCGTTAAAATTTTAAATTATTTATTTTGAGTAAATGAATTTAAGTATTAGATAGTTATTTGTCGTTGAATTTTTACTTTTTTATACTTTTATTGAAAATATTATTTTTTCGTCGAAATTTTTATTTTTTATTGTCTTGAAAATAGTATTTGTTTTTTTAATTTTCAAAATTAAATAGTTTCTTGTATTTTAATAATTATAAAAAAACTAAATATTAAATTAAAAAAACTAAATGCTCTACTTTTGATAAATCATTTTATAGTTAACATGTCATTTGATCAATTTTAAATCTAATGGTTTATGCATAACTAGTTTAAATCTAATGGTGACAAAAAATCCTGCATTAAGTAAAATTTTCAAATCTGTAGAAAGCTTGAGGAAGGGTAAAAGGATTGGAGAATTATCTACACTTCAACATTTCTTGAAGTTAGCAAGCTGAATTGTACAAGTAATATTTAAGCCTCATTCTTTACAAATGTATATATTACAGTTAAGAACAACAAATTTTACAAGATATTATCATGATCGTGTATAGAATCTAATTAGCAAACCATTACTAGCTACGAGGAGGAGCCTAAAAGTGATGAAGAGGGCTTCTCTATATTCATTCCTGAAGGCAAAGGCAAAAGTCCCGTCGTCTGATATGAGGAAACTGATGATGGTACCGGTGCAGAGGCTGAAGCCGCGAATGTTGAAAGAACACTGTCATTGCTGCTCACATTTATGCTTGTGCCACTAATCAAACCTTCAGTGAATGCCTTTGGAGCTGGCGGTTTATCAATCTCTGCTATTCCTTCTAGCATCTGCACAACTTTTCCCATCATTGGCCTTTGAGACGGTTGCTCTTGGATGCACCAAAAGCTCACCAGAATTGCCCTCTTTGCTTGCTCCATATCCATGTCTTGATCAGCAAGTCTTCTGTCAATGATAGCATTCACATTTCCCTTCTCAAACTCTTCATAAGCCCATACGGAGAACTTTTTTCGGTTAGTTTCTTCTGAGACTTCAAAATTTCTTCTTCCACTCACTATCTCCAACAAAACCATACCATAACTATATATATCGGATCTGGAAGTTATTGGAAGATTTGCAATCCACTCCGGTGCCAAATATCCTCTGGTCCCTCTAACACTTTTCAGGGTTCTATATCTATGATCCTTAGGATTTATGAGCTTTGCAAGACCAAAATCTGATACCTTTGCATTGTAATTCTCATCCAGGAGAATATTTTCCGGCTTGATATCACAATGAACTATGCAATCTCGACATTCCTCATGAAGATATGTGATTCCTCTGGCAGTTCCAAGCGCAATGTTAAATCTATGTTCCCAGTTCAGAAATTTCCCAGAGTCTTCATTCATGGAAAAAAGGAAATTGTCAAGTGACCCATTTTTCATGAACTCATAAACCAAAAGCCTATGTCGTCCTTCAGAACAAAATCCGATCAGTCTCACCAAATTCAAATGGTGAGTGCTGCTTATAGTTGCAACCTCCATTCTAAACTGTTTCTCACCCTGCTCAATTCCCTCAAGCCGCTTTATTGCAACTACTGTTCTATTAGCAAGAATCCCTTTATAAACAGCTCCAAATCCTCCAGCTCCAAGCTTTTCCTTAAATCCCTTCGTTGTGCGGTGCAGGTCCTTATATGAGAACTGCACCGGTGCACCAGAGGCATACTCAAGAAGTGCATAATGAGCTGACAAACTGCCAAACTTAGGACTATTTCTACAACACCACCACCATAAACCACCCTCTATAGCAATCAAACCAAGAAGTGTAACCACAATAACAAGAATGACAAGCCACACGCCAATTCTACTTTTCCCTTTTCCGGCAACCTGCAAATCAACTGAAGGGTTAAGTTGAACCGGTCCGCAAACCTTGACATATGAAGTACTAGGAAGTGAAGGGTTCTGATAACCACTAACAAAGTCAGGTGTTTTCAAGTAACACAACCCAGTTCCATCTGACAAAGACGTTGAAGCAACGCAAGAACTACTCACAAGACAATTCAATCTACAAGCTGATATTCCTACAAAGAAAACCTGCGAGGAAAGCTCAGGTTGGTAAGTCAAGAACTTGGCATGATCCATTTCCAACATAGTAGCAGTTCCAGGACAATTTTCAATCTCCACTTTCCTTTTACAACCTTTTCTACTATCATTCACATCAACAAACTCAAAATTCTCAGATGGGCATCCACAGATTGGAGTGGGACTCGAACTTGAATCATTATAACTACAGATCCCCATATTTCCACAATATCCAAACACCTGACACTGGTCAGTCAAAGCAGCCCATCTCATAGTTACAATTCCACTGCCTAAAGCAGAACTATAAATCCTCAAATTCCCATCGCTATCCAACTTCAAAAACCTTAATATATCACTACCTTCTGCATAATCATTACTATAAGCTACAATATATGCACTAGTTAAAGTAACATCAAATATTGATAAAATCCCGATTTGCTGCAAACCCAAAACTGGTGAAGTCAAATTAGAATCGATAGAAGAATTCAAACCTTGATTCCAATAAATTACACTATCATTCCATTTCAAAGTGAGATTCCCAGAATTAAGAACATTAAACGAATAAATCCCAGATTTCAAAACATGGTTTACCGTTAAATTCTGACCAGGGACAATTGTATTCGTTGGGTTTTGAAAACTGGACCAAACCGAAACCCCACTGCCATTTCGAAGAACTAAATCGCCGGAATCCTCCAAAGAAGCGGAAGTAACTCCAAGATGGCTAGTGTTGGAGTCCCAGACGACGGTGCCAGAGCCGTTGACGAGTTGGAGAGTTCCATTAGAGTGGAAATGGAAAGCTCCACCGGCATCAACAGAAACGGATGGACCACCGGCGGTCCAAACCTGGACACCACCAAAGTAATTGATTCCGGCGACATAGCTAGAACCTACTTGTATAAAACCCACAAAAAAGGTATTATTGGGGGAAGACCAAGTATGGTTAAGATTGGAAGGTGAAAGGAAAGTGCCTGGAGATATTTGGGATTTTGAAATAGAGAAGACAAGGGAAAGAAAAAGAACAAAAATGAGAAATCGGAATTCCATTTCTCTTTGTTGGTACAGTGCATTAAAAAGTTCCACTTTATATACACATAATCTGTATCTCGTCTTTGTCTTTGTATTTGGGCAATGGGTTTACACAGCTTCCGTAGAATGGAAGACTTTGACCGTGTAAAGAATGGCTGTGGTGGTGGTTGTGATGGAAGACTTTGGAATTTGGACTATTGTGGTTTATTTGATTTTGGCGCGTATAGTTCACGGATGGAAGGGCAATGAGTTTCTGCGCGTGATCTTTTGTTTTTGCTTTTTGAACTGCCGCTCCATGTAATGTGATCGTGACGGCCAAAGGGAAGTTTTTGGCAGAGGGAAGGGTCTGTTTCTTACAGGGACAATTATTTTTGGGTCCCTGAAATTTTATAAAATTTATAATTTCGTCCTTTCTGTTTATGATAATTATTTTGGAGTCCCTCACGTATGTTTCCATCTGATTTTCTAGTGCTCCCGTAAAGAAAGTAACATTTTTTCTATTAATTTTACTTAAAAAGAGAGGAATAGCCTTATTATGAACCCACAAATACTATATTAATATTTTTAATTAACCATCTCTCTCCTCTCTTTCCTTCATGTGCCCTGCTCTCTCCTCTCTTCTTCCTCTACCTTAACCAATACCACCACATGCGCCACCTCTTTTGGCGGCGCTTGATGCACCTGCTCATCCAACACATCACCACCATAAATCATAAAGAGCGCGATTTCTCCCATATTTAGCCACCATCATAGGCATGGCCAGCACATGTGCTCACAGCTCCGCCGCAAATTCTCTCCACAGTATGTGGTTTGCTCCAAAGCCACTAATACTCGCTTCATCCATCGCAACTTCCACCACAGTCCCTATGATCCCAGCCTTGACTGCCACGTGATGGTTCCCCTTAGCCAAACAAAGTTCCAACAATTTTTTCATTGCCGGTTTTAAGTTGGAGCAAACTGAGTTGGAAGGCGGGTCAGGAACTAACAAGCATTCTAAGGGATGGAGACAACAAGTTTCTCCGATTTAAACCCAATACTAAGTTGGAGGTCCGTTATATGAAAGAGCTCTTGGAGTTCGTCGGAATGAATTGGTGATGGCAATGGGACTAATGCAAAAGAAGAAGAGAGGAGAAAGTAGGGCACGAGAAGGAAAGAGAAGAGAGAGATGGGTAATTAAAATATTAATATAATATTTGTGGGTCCAATCATAAGGCTATTTTTGCCTTTTTAAGTTAAATTAATTGAAAATATATATATATATATATATACTTTTTTTTCCAATCATAAGGCTATTTTTTGCCTAAGTTAAACTTAATGAAAATATTATATATATAAATATACTTTTTTTTTTTTTTACGGAAGGATTAGAAAGTTACACCGAGACAGTATGTGAGGGGCTCCAAAAATAAATATCACCAAACAATGAGGACGAAAGGCATGTATTTTATATCACCTTTTTTTTTTTTTTACGGAAGGATTAGAAAGTTACACCGAGACATATGTGAGGGGCTCCAAAATAATTATCACAAACAATGAGGACGAAGTCATGTATTTTATAAAACCTCAGGGACCCGAAAATAATTTTCCCTTTCTTCTATGTATTTTGGAAAATGAATTTCTCGTTTATAAATTAGGCTTAATTTTCACCCAACTTGACTCTAAGGGTAGGTATTATCACAATACCGCCTCTTGAATTCGATTTGTAATAGTAAAATCCATTAATTCTTATTTATATAACGAGAAAGCTTTTTTTATCTTATTTTCGATAAAGAGATACCGAAAATCCAAATAATAGCACCATGCCAGCTATTATTTGGATTTTTAATGTCACATCAGCCTCAAACAGTGTGAAACTTCTCTCTTATTTTTTTTTTTCTCTCCTATCTATTCTTTGTCAAGAAAACGTGCATCTACCTTGTTATCTTTCTTTCCTTGTTATTATTTTCTCTTTCCTCTATGGCAAATAATCTACTACCTTTTTATTTTATCACCAACTCGCTTCAAAATCAAAACATGATAAATTTTAACTTTATTTAGTAATTCTTCTTTATATATATATACATGCAATACTTGTTAAAAAGGGGAAAAAACAATGAGAGAACAAAAGCAATAAAAATCAAAAAGCCCTTTGTAAAAATCAAAAGAATAAAAAAGTCAAAAATCAAAAAGTTCTTTATGATGCATTATTCAAATAAAAAAATGAGAATGCGCGGGCTCTCACTTAAGAAAACGACTCTACATTATATCAAGGCCCAAAGGCCCGAGGAAAGACGAGAAGGGTCAAGGCCCACCTGAAGAATAGGAGTTACCACTCAAACGAAACCTTGAACAATTACCACATAGCGATTAGAATTCCTCGTAGAGAGCCCAACCGTTTAACCAAAGTTTGGATAAGAAAGTTAAGTGTGAGCTTGAAAAGGTGTTAGGCACCGTAGCCCACCCGACCATGGCGCCAACCTCCACTTTGTTGGTTTATGTAAGTAATAGTTGATTTTATTTTTAAACCTAATTACTTAACAAAATCTTTTTGAAAACATTTTAATTTTGAAAATCAAAAGATTATTTTGTTCACATTGATATGTCATAATCACAAACATAAAATAAATTAAACATTGTCACGACCCAAAACCATGGACCGGACCGGTACTAAGACTCAGATAAGCACAAGGCCGTAGTAAGCCTAAACCACATAGACCATTCATGCCACACGAATTCCTGGGAACAATAAACCTATATTATTTTATATATAAATCTAATAATCACATATTCCTGATCCAATTTCAACATCTCAAATAACTCATAGTTCGAGTCTAATTATAATACACATCATTCATAATATAGGCTAACTAGTTCACACATACACTTAGATAAATAATTAAAACATTCATAATGTTATGAGTTAGTATACCCATTTTACTACACGATTAGATGTATATAAGTCTTACAACTCCAGAGTTCAATAATAATTAGAAATAATAATAGAGTCTTTGTTTGTAACTACCAAAATTAGAAATTTACTTCTATAGCCTTGCAGAGGAGGATGCAGAGCTTTAGCCGAATCAACGAGGATTCTACTTCTTGAAAAGTTAAATAAAAGAGGAGTAAGAGGAGTGAGTTTTGTAACTTAGTGAATAATAAATAATAAATAATGCATAACATAGGCATTCACGCGAAATGCTTCCTAAAATGCTAAAATGGACACACAACCAATCAAGCATATAGCACAATATCAACACCTACAGGTAATTACACCTTCAAATAATCAAACAAATGGAAATTGGTTAGTGGTGTCATCGAAACCCTTGACTAGCCGTCCTCACACATGGCCCAACCTCTCAAACGTGTACACCAGGGAGCCGATTTCCCATACATGGACGACTGGTCTAATCCTCACTCGACCAACCCTCATTTTTTTTCCGTGCTCTCTTTTTTTTTTTTTTTTTTTTTTTTTTTCCGTGCTCTTCTTTTTTTTTTTTTTTTTTTTTTTTATTCCCAATAGGAGGCCACCCTGTGATTTTTCTATATCAATCATATGTAGATGCACACGGGTTGCCAATCTCCCCATACGATGGCCAACGGTATCATAGACCGCTTCACAGACCCGTGGTGACCCCCTTCATCCCAATTCCACATAAATAAGGCACAACAATTTCATAGTACAAGTAATCAAGCAATTTATTCAATACAAGATGCATCATATTAATAATTAATGCAAACATGAAGTATAATTATATTTTAATAATAACATAATAATACAAATATAAAATAAATACTAAGTTATCTTTCATATACATATATATATTATATATATATATATATAATATATATATTATAAAATAAATAATAACATATATATAAAAGATTTGATATGCACTATTTATTATTTTATATATATTATAAAATAAATAATACATATATATAAAAGATGATATGCACTATTTATTATTACTCACAGTGATAGAGAAAAAAAGAAACTCCAGCTCATATTTTGACTTGGAGGAGCAGTGGATGAACCCAGATGATCTAAAAAATATAAGAATGCAAAGGAAGGAACTGAATCAGAAGAAGGACCAATTTAAATAAAGAATTAAAGAACTAATCTAATAAATTTATCTACCTATCTAACATCTATAACTAGACTAAATTCAACCGAAATTTCAGTAACACCTCCCCTAAAAAAATTGAGCTATCTACTTGTTTAAATATCAATAATTTCATTTAAAATCATTCAATCCGCACAGCCCATCCGTGGGCAATTAACCAAATCAAGTACCCATCCTCGTTTAATATTAGCATCAACATTCAATTATGACAATCACTTTAATCACTTTATATAAACTTACTTTATGTTCTACATAATATGATTTATCAATCCTCATATATAACCCAAGTTTACATTTCTAATCCAAGTTTTCCTGACTTAGCTTGTTTATTTTCTATCAAAAGTTAATATTAAAATACTATCTCCCTTTCACTAAGCAAAAGTTGAACGTAAATGGCTAAGCTAGCTGCTGCCATCACAATAAAACCTTGGATTCTTGATAAAACACAAACTTAATAAGTTGCTTAACACATCTCCCCATTTAAGAACTCAATTACAACTCCATATACTGAATTAAAACCTATAATTCAAGCGATACATGCTCTCATTGCAAAATAATTCTCATTCTTGATCATTAGAACTCCAAATATTAATAACAAATTATTAAACTCATATTTCTACCATTAAACATGATCTTAGTTCAAGCAAAAACCATAATTCTTTCTAGCTAGAGGCTGCCACCAAAAATTCGTGCCCATATCTAGACTAACATTACTTTAATCACTCCTAAATGCTCATCAAAATGTATTTAATTATTATTAGAAAGAAAATTAGTTAAATTTTCTAAAAGGTTTGTATAAACAGTAGCATCTACGGGTTTATTCTTACATTAGTTCTGTATATACAGCAAATCCTATACCTTAGATCATAAATTTCACAAAATGTGCTAAGGAAAGTTGAAAATCAGCTTACCCAGAGAAAACTATGCCGGAAATTGAAGTTTTCCGGTTAGAATGACCGGAAAAAATGCTGCTCTTCGCTTAACCCTTTCTTTCTCGCTACTGCGCCACAACCAGACCAGAAAATGGGAAGGGGAGCAGCCGGAGGAGGACCGGTGGACGATGTGGGAGACCTACACCAGCCGGTCCTTGGCTGGTCTTGCCAGAGACGTCGAAAGAACAGAGAAAGAGGGTTGTCCCGAACGACAAATGCTCTTCTGTCTCACTCTCGTCCTCGTGCTACGACATGGCAGGTCGGAGATAAGGGAAACGGTGACCAGAGAAGCAATAGCGACGCGGAGGAAGTTCGGTTTGCCAAGATCGAGCTCAGGTGACCGGAAATAGCAGATGGAGCTTAAATCGGAAAATACCTCAGCCGCATTCTTCCTCTCTTTTCTGCGTTAAAACCGACTGGAAATAGGAAGGGGGATTTTCCGGAGCAGTGTTGGTGAGGAGGAGGTTTGTTCAGGTCGGTGGTTGAAGGCGATGAACGCAAAATCGCAGGTAAGGGAGGAGGAGGTGTGGTCGGCGTAATCTGGAAAGGAGAGAAGGGGCAGTTAGGACAAAAGAGTATTTTTCTTTTTTTGATTTCTGGATATTTCCTACATGGCAATAGCTGATTTGGTTCGATTTGGCTCGCTTCATGAATTTTTTACTTGGTTTTATTCTTTTTAATTGGTTTATGGGTCTTCTAACAGGTTTAATTTTACTTGGGTTTGGTTTTAGCAAAAATAATATATATTTGCATTAAATTTGTCAAAAATATTCACAGTATAAATTTATTTATTTTTAAATATAATAATGTTATTTTATCCCATTGGTTAAAATTCACTATTTAAATTTTTTAAATAAAAAACTTTTGAAATAAATTTTTTAGGTCGTTTTAAACATACAAAAAGGAGGAAGGAAAAAAGAATTACATCTCTAAACAATAAACAAACCTACAACTATTTAATTACAACTCCTTCAAAATAACCTACAACTAATTAATTACATCTCCTTTAAAAATATCTTAAAACTAATTAATTACATTCCCATAAATAATGAGTAAATAAATAAAAAATTTAATCAAACAATCCTAACCATTCATGTAATAGATATAATATACACCCTTAACTGTTCATCTGATAAATATATACAATAATCAAATAAATAATAAATTAGTCTCAAGTAATTAAATATAATTAAAAAATAAGACAAAAGCAATAATAATTTAAATTATCATTAGTAATAAGATATAATATACACCCTTAACTGTTCACTGATAAATATATTACAATTAATCAAATAAATAATAAATTAGTCTCAAGTAGATTAAAAAATATAATTAAAAAATAAGACAAAAAGAACTTAATATTTAAAATAGAAAGTTAAACGATTTAATACAAGTTAAAATTAAAAATTATCCACAAATCAAACTGAAGATAAAATCATTTAAAAATCAAATTCAAAAAGAATTATATGAAATTATTAAAACACAAAAAAATAAAGAATTGACAAGGTCAGAATTAAGATAAAAAGAGGAATATAATGGGGTATAAACAAAACAAATTAAAATAAAAAATTGAACTGTTAGCTCAAGAGTTAATTTCTATCTTAGGAAATTTTAGATTGATGATTATGCAAACCAAATAAATTTAATATTTTTGTATATGTTAAAGTTATTTTATGCAAATTTTTAATATGAAAATTGCTAAAGAAGGCAAGTCCCTATAATCCGAGATTCTTTGAAGACCATGAAAATTATTGAAAGTTTGTTTAGTGGTAAGTTGAAATGACCCGAAAATTTATTTTCACAAATTTTCATTTTAATTTGATCATAAATTCTAACCAATGAAAGTCAATGGAAAATAATTTTATTATTGCCAACCTAGACCTGTTAACCAAGTGGAAATCTTGTAAACCAAGCAAAAACCGAGCCAAATCATTGAATTGGGCCAAATCGATTTGAATTGAATCGAAATTGGCCCAGAAAGCTTTGGACACCCTGCCTTTTCTTTTCTTTTCTCTTATTCTTCTTTCTTCTTCTCCAGTGCCGTTTCTCCCTCTTATCGTTTCCGGCACCGCTCGACGGGAGCAAGGTGTCAATCGGCCTCCTTTTCGATGCTGGACATGATTCCAGCTTTTCCTCTCAACGATTGGAGCTCCAACAGCATGGGTGGAATCTTCGCCTTCCCTCAATGATGCAGTTACAATTTTCGGCAATATTAGGCGATTCCGGTGACGTGAGGCTTCAAAGCGAGTCTCGATTGACTCAACTCCTCCACGCGAACATTTCCCCTCCATGAAGTCTGATGTTTGGCTCAGTCTCGTGAAAACGCCATTGAAGGCGGCGTGCAGTGGCTGTCGAGCTTGATTCTAGTTAGTTGGCTCACCAAACTCATAAACCGATGATGCATTTGAGCGCCATGTAAAATTTCAAGTCGGATGGTGGAATTCTTGAAAATTGCTGGGCAGGATCGACTCTCCGGCCACCCTGAACGGCCCCGCCAGCGGAGGTCCTATGATCGGCCGGCGAGGCCCCAAGAGGTAGAATCATCTTCTCCTCGCATGGATCGTGGAATCGTAGTTCGATTTTCGATTGGTACGCTCTAAGACCTAGTTCCTTTTTTTTGGTATAAATTCCAAATTTAAAATTATTAGTTGATTAAGTTGATTTTGAATAAATAGTTAATTAAAGGACTTTGAAATGTTAGGCAGAATATTGGATTTGTCATGTGGATTCCGAATATGCAATTAGAATTACAACCTGACCTCGATTAATAATTAAATCGGTCATTAGCGCATATTTTGTGTATAGACTTTTAAAATAGAAAATGTCCAGAATTCAGTTATCCTTGTATTGCCTAACTGACCTGTTACAAGGTAGCTAATAATTTAGAAATTACAACCCTGGACCTCGATAATAATTAAAATCGGTCATTAGCGCAATATATTTTGTGTATAGGCATATTTTGTGTATAGACTTTTAAAATAGAAAATGTCCAGAATTCAGTTATCCTTGTATTGCCTAACTGACCTGTTACAAGGTAGCTAATAATCAGAAACTACATAGAATTGTTTAGCTACTTAATTCTATATATGTGGAAACATAGTTAATAAACTAAGAATAGTTAATAAACTACGAAGTAATGCAAATTCGGTACATATACTTCTAAGCTAAAAAATCACAGAAATGGATGAAATAGCAATTAGCGTGACCTTAGAAAGACTAAGTCAAGTAATTAGATAATAGTTAATTAGTTTAACTAGAATTGATTACTGTTGTGAGTTAAAGTTGAGGAAGTTTTAGTTCTATATAAGTATAACCTTGCGCCTTAATACCTTCAAGTATAAATTATAAACCTAAGAACAAGCAACTACTATTCCTAATTAAAATACAATTTAAGCTCAAATATGGATGAGTTGGGCTATTCACTATAAAGGGAAAAAAAACTATTTGTGGTTTGTTTATTTTGATAATGTAATTATATAGCGTTTTGATAAACTAAGAATATGATGTTAGTTGGTATTAATTATGAATTGAGTAAATGTTTAGATAAAACTTTACGAAATATGAGTTCATTGGTTATTATAAATTATAGATGAGTTTAAATGTTTAGCATTGAATGAATAATGGTTATGGCGGACGGGATTAGTTATTGTTGAAATATCTGCCGATGTATGGGCTTCGGAGAATTAACTAATTGAATTGCTAGTTTTAAGCAGGTGGTTAATTCAATTATTAGGGAGAGTTCTGTGACAATTTCGGACAGAATCTAATCTAGATTAGTTTTACTTGTAAATAGGTTGTAGGATTTATTTAGGATAATCCTTTATTATTATTTAGGAGAATGCTTTATTTAATTCTTTTCTCTCCTTCTAATTTCATTTCATTAGAATCACTCTAGTTGGATCACTGATTCGACAAGTTAGAATCGAAACTTCAGTCTTTTCCCATCTAGTGTAGTAAATAATAATAGATAGTATTTACCATTTGCATCATACATAAATTCATTACTATACAAAGCTTTGTCTTTAATTAATTATTTATTATTTTCAAGTACCACCTATTATATTATAATATTATTTAATACTCTTATATTCATTTGAGTTGGTATATGAATGTCTATTTGCGCTTTTGCATGATAATTCATTTGAGTTGGTATATGAATGTCTATTTGCGCTTTTGCATGATAGTGTTTAATTATTTAATATGCTTGCATTTAATTGCATCGTTTGATTAGTTGTGCTGTGACATTTATGTGCCTTGTTTGCATGGAATTGGGATAAAGTGGGTCACAATGGGTTTGTGAGGGCGGTCTTCGATACCATTGGCCATGTATGGGGAGATCGACGCCCCTGTGTGCATATGATGATATGGGTTTATATGAAAAATCACAGGGTGGCCTCCTGTTGCTATGGAAAGATAAGAGAGTATAAAAAAAATGAGAGGGCTGGTCAAGTGAGGATTAGACCGGTCGGCCATGTATGGGGGATCGACTCCTTGGTGCACATGTCATGACAAGATGGGCCATGTGTGAGGATGGCTCATCGAGGGCGGTCGGCCATGTATGGGGGATCGACTCCTTGGTGCACATGTCATGACAAGATGGGCCATGTGTGAGGATGGCTCATCGAGGGTTTCGGTGACGCCAATGACTAATTTCCACTTGTTTGATTATTTGAAGGTGTAATTACTTGTGGTTGCTGATGTTGTGCCATATGCTTGACTGTCTTGTGTTCATTTTAGTACTTTAAGAATCATTTGTGTGAATGCTTGTATTATGCTATAATTACTATTTATTATTAAACTCACATTTCTTTTGTTTAACTTTTTCAGGAAGTAGATTCTTCTTTGTCTCGCCTAAAAGCTCTGCATCCTTCTCCGCAGAGCTAAAAAAGTATAACAGTCTGATTTTCTTTTAGTGTCGGTAATAGTGATTTATCGGTCTGTGAATAGTACCATCGGTCCGGGACTTGGTATTATTTTAGTCCAGAAAAATTACTATGCATATTAATATTTTATGTATATTTTTGAGCATGGTTTTGCATGATTTAGGCGGGTAGAAAATATTTCATTAAATAATTATTTGGAGAGTTTATGTATTTTAAATGAATTATTATTTTTCTAGTGTGGTATATTAGAAATAAATGAGGAATTATTTTAGTGGAGTTAATTAATTATTTGGTGGAGGTTAACATAATAAGTAAAGAGGAATTATTTGAGGAATATTTAGAGCCATTGGATGAGATTACTTTAGGATGTTGATCTTAGCCACACATTTGGCATTAAAATGCAGGAAGTAAAAAAATTGACTTTGTCCCTTAAATGTTAATCACACCTAAAGTCACACTTTCTCTTTTCTTTCTCTTCTCCTTCTCCAAACGCCATTTTCATCTTCTCCTCTTCCTTCATTTTCTTCTTTTTCTTACCTCCAAATTACCACCAAGCTACCTAATTAAACCATGGATAGTTTAAAAACTTTTAAAAAACTTCTTTAAGAATTAAGTAGTAGAAGGTGGAAAGTTGGTGATAAAAATTCAAAGAGAATTGAAGTTACCATTGAAAGCAAGGTAAGTTGTGGTTTTGAGTTTTGTGAATTAATAAGTAGGAAATTCATGGGTTTAGA